AGGAGGAGGATAGAAGTGGTGGTGCAAAAGGAGTGTCAGAGTTAGTTGGCGGAAGAGAGGAGGAAGAGGCGGGCGGGGGGACGATGGCTGGAGCAGTTTGAGAGGTGCAGTTGGTTCGGAGATGTCCAACAAGTCCGATTCGAGCCCGGAATGTCCGCTGACATCGAGGACACGTTGAAAGCGGTTGTGCGGCGGCGTTGCTGACTGGGCGAAGTTGTGATTTGCGGGCTTCACGTTTCGCTTTGGAGGCGGCGATGCGGTTGGCTTCATAGATAGCAGCGCCCGTCTCCACTGTTCTCCTCCATGTCGGAAGATCGCGAGCAAGCCCTTCCCAGTTGGTCGGGTTGATTTGCAGGCGCCTCAGGGAGGACTTCAGGGTATCCTTGTAACGGCGAATTTGTCCTCCTTGACGACGAGAACCCGTCGCGACGTCTCCGTAGAAGAGTCGTCTGGGTAGCCGTTCGTCGTCCATGCGCACCAGGTGGCCGCTCCAGCGCAGCTGCATTTGTCTCAACATGGAGTAGATGCTGAGGATTCCCGTTCGTTCCAGTACTTCCGTGTCGGGGATTCGATCCCGCCAGTTCAGCCTCAGGATGCGACGGAGACAAGTGAGGTGGAAGTGGTTCAGTCGGCGTGCCTGTCTCGTGTACACCGTCCATGTCTCTGCTCCGTACAGTAACGTCGGCAGGATGACGGCCTTGTACGTCTTCAGCTTCCTGATCAGTTGGAGACCGTGGCGATTCCAAACTGTGCTTCGGAGACGACGGAAGGCTTGACAGGCTTTCGAGATCCTGTTGGCGACTTCGTCATCAATCTTGGTGTTGCGAGAGAGGGTACTGCCCAGATACGGGAAGTTCTCCACCACTTGCAGTTGATTTCCGTTCACGCTGATTTCCGGCGGCGCGTTGGGGCTTGTGGATGAGTTGGGCGGCGGTTGGTGCATCACCACCGTCTTCTGCGTGTTGATGACCAGACCGAAGTTCTCGCAGGCGGCGGAGAATAGATCCATGTTCCGTTGCATCTCCTCTTCCGAGGTGGTGTTCAGGGCGCAGTCGTCGGCGAAGAGGAGTTCGTGCACGGTGGCTGTGGATACACGCGATTGGAAGTGCATCCGCCGTTGATTCAGCAGGTGACCGTCCGTTCTGTAGGCGATGCGGATTCCAGGGCGTTCGTCGCGGTAGGCGTCCATCAGCATGGCAGAGAACATAAGACTGAAGAGGGTAGGCGCCAGTTCGCAGCCCTGCTCCACTCCATTGGTCACTGCGAATGCGTCTGAGACAGCTCCGTTGTCAGTGACTCGCGCCACCATACCGTCGTGCAGCTGACGCACCATCTGAGTGAATCACTCCGGACAGCCGAATTTCTGCATGATCTTCCACAGTCCTTCACGATTCACCGTGTCGAAGGCTTTCGTCAGGTCCACGAAGGTAGAGTACAGGTGGGTCCGCATCTCCTGGCACTTCTCCTGAAGTTGGCGGGCTGCGAAGATCATATCCGTGGTCCCACGATGACGACGGAATCCGCATTGGCTTTTCGGCAGAAGGCCCTGTTCCAGGTGGTTATTGAGGCGGTTGAGGAGGATGCGAGCGAAGATCTCCCCGGCGATGTTCAGTAGGGAGATGCTGCGGTGGTTGTCGCAGACTTGGCGATTACCTTTGCAATTGTATAGGTGCACGATTGTTGCGTCCTTGAAATCTTGCGGCACTTCAACTTGACGCCACATCCCCTTGAAGAGCGCAGTCAGGTGATCCATCATTAGGGGACCTCCGTGCTTGTAGACCTCAGCAGGGATTGCGTCCGATCCGGGTGCTTTCCCGCTGGAGAGCTGCTGCACGGTCCTGATTGCCTCCTGGAGAGATGGCGGGAGGACGAGGTCCACGTTGGTCTCCACTTGCGGCAAGCGGGCGATGGCGGCGTCGGAGATGACGGAAGGGCGGTTGAGGACGCCTCGAAAATGCTCGGCCCATCGCTGTAGGATTTGCGTCTTCTCAGTCAGGAGAGTACTGCCGTCGGCGCTGAGGAGAGGAGCAGTGCCCTTCGTCGGCGGACAGTAGATAGCTTTGATCGCAGAGAAGAAGTTCTTCCATTGGTTGCGGTCCGCATAGCCTTGGATCTCCTCAGCTTTGCGAGCAGTCCAGGCGTCCTGCATCTCGCGCAGTCGTTGTTGAAGCTGTTGGCGACTGCGGTAGAAGGCAGCTTTGTTGCCCTCAGTGGGGTGATCTACGTAGGCTTTGTGTAGGCGGTTCTTCTCGGCAAGCAGATTGCTGATGGCGGCGTCGTTGTCGTCGAACCAGTCCTGGTGTTGGCGGGAAGCGCGACCGAGGACGGCGAGCGCCGTCAACTGGACCGTGTCTCGCAGTTGACACCAGCGGTTCTCCACGGAGGCGTTCTCGGCAGCGGCGGCGTCGGCAGCGATAGGAAAGTTGTCTAGCCGTTGAGCTAGCTCATTGCTGAAATGAAGATGGCGAGCGGGCAAAGACAACAAGCCAAAATTCAGTTTACCTGGGGTCGCTTACCTTGTGGTCTCCTGCGAGGCTGTAGGCGAATACGCATCTTCGAGATGACGAGGCGATGGTCGGTCCACCTGTCAGCGCCCGCGATCGCCTTTGTCACCAGCACGTCCAGCTAAACTCGCCTCCGAACGAGGACATAGTCCAGTAGGTGCCAGTGACGCGACCGAGGATGCCTCCAAGTGGCCTTCTCTCGCTCCGACAGACAGAAGAACGTGTTCGTCAGGATGAGGCGGTGTTCTGCGCCGGCGCGAAGCAGTAGCAGACCATTGTCGTTGGAGCCGCGTAGACCGTGGGGGCCCAGCACTCCCCTCCAGGCAGTATGATCGGTGCCGACGCGGGCGTTGAAGTCGCCAAGGACAATCAACTTGTCCGCCTTCGACACAGTCGCCAAGAGCGCGTGCAGGTTCTCGTAGAATTTGTCTCTGACGGCGTCGGGGCTGGTCATCGGCGGAGCGTAGGCGCTGATGATGGTGGCGAACTTGCCTCCTCGCCGGAGAGGCAGGCGGGGGCTCATCAGGCGGTCGTTGATGCCCTGCGGCAGACAGGGCAGTCGTCCCACGATGTCGGTCCGGATGGCGAAGGCGACGCCCGCGTCTCGTCGCTCTGCCCTGTGTCAACCACTCCAGAAGAAGGTGTAGCCGGCACCCACCTCCTCCAGTTGGCCTTGTTCGGAGAATCGGGTCTCGCTGAGTGCGGCGATGTCCACCTTGTAGCGCGCCAGTTCTCGTGCCACTAGCGTCGTCCTCCGCTCCGGTCGGTTGCTCCTCGGATTGTCTAGAAGGGAACGAACATTCCAGGCTGCCAGAGTGAGCGGGCTCACCCTGCCAGTCTGGTGACGACGAGTGGGGCGACGGGAGGGAGATGGAGAAGAAGGTGACGAAGGAGAAGAATAGGCAGAATAGTAGGCAGAGGAAGAGGAAGAAGAGGTAGGATGAGGAGAATGAGTATGGTTGTTGTTGTTGTTGTTGTTGTTACTGGCATTGTTGTTGTTTCGATTTTGATTGTTTCGATCATGATAAGACGTCTGTGGCCCTGGCTAGCCTGGAGACGGCGTGGTTCCCAGCAATGTTTAGGCCACAACGCGGAAATGACCACTGGGTCTATAAGATCAATATTCATAAGTCCTGCGACCTATTTATCAAGCGCGCACACGATGCGGGGAGACGGGACTGTTAAAGGTCGGTTATCCCGACGCTTACACGAAAATCTTCGATGAAAACCCCACTTTAAACACCATCGTGATCCCTTTTCCTGCCTGTCTCCACGCACATCCTTTGATCACTTATTAACCCCTAATACACCACACGTCAATCACCGAGACAATCATATCTCCTGCTGACAGCAATTCTGTGATCCGTTTAGTCTTCGTCGCTATGATTGGCATAAAGTCACTTTTATAACATGCACGTCCCACAGAAGTGTATAGCATACTTCTTGATGTATCCAGGTCGTGTGTGACACAACATAAACGGGCTGTCTAACTCCATAGGCCACTGCGTCCAATCCCACTACTGGACGGCTGACAAGTTTATATACACTACTGGTGCATGTGGGAGGGGGGAGAGAGTGAGGTCGATTCTGGGTACTTCGTCTCCATGGTACTTCAGCGCATTCTTTACTATAAACAATCTGAGACGTTTGAAACCCCTACCAGGACCTAAAAGTCGTGGCTTGGAAGGTTCCCGACTGAGGGGAATGTTCGGTCCGCTCAGGGCGGAGATACAGGTTGAAGTGGATTCTTCTGAATGTGGCCTCTCTGGCATTTACATTCAGATGGGACCCGACTATCCCCTTTGTTCTGTGAAACTTTGCTTCATCGTGCACTGACCTGGTCATGTGTGGCATGCGCAAACGGGCTGTTTTAGCTTTAGAAGTTACTGCGTCCGACCCTACCTCAGGCATTTCTGGCTCATTCTTGTCACCAGAGTCAGGAGGGTGGGAGATGTGAGAGCATGGCATATTATGCGCGAGTTTCTTATCACTGACAGTTCGGCCGTCGACCCCTACGATGTTTACCTTGTGCTCTACGGCAGAGTGGGAGCAGGGTTGGTGACTCCCATGTGAATCATTTTATAGTGATAGAAGACTTTCGCTGCATCTGCCACACTCTCTCCTCCTTCCCTGCCTAGACCCGTTGTCATGGCCAAGTCAAGAAAACCGGAGAAGGAAGAGGCCGCAGGTGGCTGGCGCGACGGAAACCCGCACCCTGGTCCCCAACACTCGACCGGAATTTCTTACAACAAGTACGGAAGGGCGGCTCGATCCCAATTGACGTGACGTGAGCCTGCAAATCGGTCTGTCATCATACCCCGAATTATGGCATTTGTTATGGATGCGCGTTCTCTAATAAAACCTTCTGGATTCCGATGTGGCTCCTGTGTCGGTTCAGCGCATCTACCGCGTGGTTCGTTTTAGGGGCAAAAGTCTGTTACGACTATGAACTGCTTCACGCGCAAGTCAACGTCATGCGTTCATCACGCTGTTGGATGACCGATTTGATGATAGGAAGCATTCCAAAGGCAGTATTACTTTTAAGACCCCATGTATTCGATTTGTTAATTTTGTGACCTTGAATAATCACAGGGACGGAACTGACCATGAACTTATTCATACGTACACTGGAGAGCCCAACTCGTTATGAGAAACTACATTGGGGATTGTAAGGGCCTAATCAAACTCATACGGACGTAGTCATTTGGAGTTTTTTTTAATGTTATATCATCTTTCGTGAAAGTATGGCAGGTCCTATTAACTCGGCTATGAAGCAAGCGTGATTCTTTTAGAGAAAACACAGAAAAAGTGAACTGTTTTTTACTAAAGTTGCTATCGAGAAAAGTGTGACGGTCATGTGAGACGCCTTTCTTACTTCGGAGCATTTGGGAAGTTCTACGACATCCAGTTACTATTTGCTTTCGTAGACTTCAACAGTGTCTGAATTCTCCGATATGCTATTACGTGAAAAGTGCAAACAACGAAGATATCGACATTTGCATGCACATTTCTGACCTGCTAGTCGTCCTAAATCAGCATTATTCCGGACCCGTGCGCCGGTTCCACCGAGATTCGTGTCGAACTCCGGTGGGTCTTTGAGCACTGCAGTTCAACACCCCGTCAGCGGAAGTCTGAGGGCTCGTTCTCTCTCCCAGCTGAAGGCTTGAATATGCAAGTTCACTTGGGGACGGTGTTTACCGACCAGTCTCCGCCGTCGGACGAAGGTGGGCATTTCGGTGTTGCCTTGGAACTGAAAGTCCTCAGCGCACGCCGGAGTTCGTACGGTGTCCAACAGTCAGTATTGGGAAACCCTTCTGACGAAGATCGTGACCCATAAACCGCCATCGGCCAGTTGGTTTCTAGTTGTAGGTCATCTGTCTAATTACTTCATTGCTCAAACGCTGGTTTATAATCACAGAAAGGGATTGACAATAATTCGGGTTCCTTATGCATTGGGAATTCTTGAGCCTAAAAATCTATATGCAGGTACCAGCGACATTGTTTGTGAGATGACGCATTTAAATCCTCTGGAGTTTCTTTTTGATGTTCTGTACACACGACGCTGACTCTGGGAGCTCGGCCCCACGACACAGGCGCATTCCGCACTACAATAAGTTTGAAGCGCTTTTAGACTACCAAGACACGCGTAGACGACCTGTTAGCCTTATCAGCTACTGCGCCCGGGATCCCCTTTCGGCCGTTCAGAGTCTGACTCATCACCGAGCCCAGGAGAAGGAGGGGAGGGGGGGGGGTGCGATAGATGCAGCGAAAGCCTACTTCCACTATAAACAAACTCAAGCACAGGCCAGCGTCCTTGCTCCCACTCCTTTGTGTGGCACACGATGGATATCGTCGTCCGCGGCATTCCAGTCGGCATTTAACAAGAGGAAGAATGAAAATTGCAATTTGCATATTTTAATCCAAGGTTTAAAGGCGGCAGAGAGTGAAGGTGAGACGAAGGTGAGCTCATTGATTAAACCTCAAAAAGGAAGATTTTTGACTCGAGTAGACGATCTTTTTAGCAAAACATCAATGCGTCTGCACAACTGCATGTGCGCAGTCAAACTGGAAAGTGTTGAGTGAGTGAGAGAGCTGGTTGTGCTAGGTGAGAGACAGGCGTTTTATTACTGGTCTGATGAGAACGCCTGCTTCAATTGCTTGTCGAACTGCCTGTACGCCTCCCCTCCCGGCAAAGTTTGTCCATCTAACTGTCTTCTCTGCCTTCTGATATGTGAACCTGCAAGTGACGAGCCGTCTGAGACGTTTGTCTGTGAGAACGGTGCCGAGTATGGTTTTACAGATCCTGGGTGAGCATAAAGAAATAAGGCGTACTTCAGATCGGCAGTACTCATGAAGCCTTTTTCCATGTCCATCTCTGGATAAACTCAGTACTCTGTGTTGTTTGTCGTGTTAGAGTTGTTGCGTCTCAAGTAATCAGACTCTTCGTTCGAACCGGCGTGCTCCACGCATTAGACAGAAGGTCCGTCACTGTTCCCGACCCCGTTCCATAGACGTCAATGAAAGGGTGTTAACGGACAAGGATAATGGGCGGGTACTTTAACATTGGTCTCTCTGCGGGAATACGACAAAAAATCCTAATCACACTCTCTCCTGAAAGTCGGAGGATCCGACTTTTCTTTATCCCTACTTTTTCTCTTCTTGTCTGCTAAAGCTGGGAGTGAAAAGCCTGATCGCCTAGGAAAGCTATCGAGAGCTGAGTTCTTCATTGATCCATCGTCTAATTAGAGGTACAAAGCCTTTTTCACATCTAGCACAAGTCTAACTGAGCGAAGTAAACGTTGTGAAAAGTAACATTAATCTATATATTCTGAAGTAGGTAAAGCGGACAGAGTTTGAGCCCAGGGCTCTGAGTTACAAAACTTCCGCTTATTTGTCGACTAGCACGCAGAAAGTCCCCAGAGGAGACGGCTCAGAAAAGGCCATCTGCGAAAATGAGAGCTAAGCACTCCGTCTACGCGCCCCGCATACGACCTAGTCCCCGCGCGATGTACAAGGTCTTCGCTTAGGAAGGGGATGGCTCGTGCGAGAGTGCCTTGGAGGCTACGTTTAAAAAGAGCCGTTGAAACTGACTCAGTCCTTAAGCCAATCACGCCACATAATCACTCAAAACTGACCACGAAGGTCAAACTAACCGTCAGTTGGCAGCTTTCCAAGCCACGACTTTTGGCGCGTCGTGATAAATTTTATGCGTGTTAGCACTCCTTCTAAAGAGGTACCAACTCTATCCTCTCGTCAATGATTAATTTATTCGCATTTGGCCCCACCACTATTATCGCCTCTGCACCGCTTTCGGTTTCTGTTATAACTAAGTGATTCGTGGGCGGTAGACTGGGGGCATGGATTCCATGTCGCTTGTCGACCTACGCTGAGATGAGACGTTACTCCGGTTACCAGGGTTAAGGACGAGTGTTCACCGAGAGGAGTCTAACGTAGGCATTCACATGCGCGAACGTTTGCTGGCATGCACTCACTTCGTGGTTTACAGAAGCTTGAAGTATACTGGTCAAACGGGGAGAAAACAGGAGAACGAGTTTCGTCAAGACATGCTCGGACTGCATACGGGAGTGCTATTTTTAGCAGCTTGTGACAGTGTGAAGCAAAATGATGCCTCCTTGTCATTATAGGAACCCGGCAAGGAGCAAGGCCGCTCAGGAGGTACTGGTAGCATGGGAACTAGGTCAGTAGTCGGCTGACAGACTTGTTGAACTCCCCTCCTCCTCCTGTTCCGCTCTGCGAAACTATGCGGAAAGCAGCAGTTAAGTCCCGTATTGAGGACTGTCACGTGGTACTGCAGCGTCTAAACAGCAAGCTCCGAGTAGCAGGAAAGGACCGAAGGCACCGAAAGAAGGGTTTTCTTGTGCTCGATCCTCGAGTTACTGTATCAGACAGGAATGACATCTGGAGAGGCCAGGGCATATGCTGACCGAGTTAAATCGAACCTGACAGAGGGAGAGAGAGAGAGAGAGGAGGTAGAGGTAGAGAGGGTGTGCGTGTGGCGTCGGATGCTTTTATGAGCTTGTTGGAGCATGTTTAAGCGTCTTTTGCCCATGTGATGTGTTGCACTAGCCGGATGCTGATAAGTTCCAGTAGGACATGGACGGCTATGGTCATCTGAATGCATGTGTGTGTGCGTGTGTGTCCTCGTCCTCTACGCCGTCAGCAACTTCTGACAGTTCTCCTGAACCACCAATTCCGTCTTCTTCCGCTTCCTCCTCCTCCTCCTCCTCCTCCTCCTCCTCCTCCTCCTCCTCCTCCGCTGCCCCGACGGCTGCCGTTGTCGCGCCTGTCACGCACATCAACACTACACACAATCCTGGCCCAACAACAGACATCAACACCACCACCGTCGGCACCAGAGGTGAGGACCTGGACAACGCCCGTCCCCACTGCGACCGCACCTTTACCTCCCACATCGACCTAGTCGGTCACTTGTGAATCCATCTCACAGAGCCTGGCGAACCAGTGCCTGGAGTACAACCTACACCCTCCGCACTTGCCTCCACTGTCCACACCGCCCTCTCACATTTGTGCATCGCGTGAGTCTATTCGGCCACATGCATATCCACGAGAACGGAATTGACTGCAGTCCCGGCACACCCACCACATCCACCGTGCCCAGCCCCTCCCTCACTCCGTCGCCTTGTGCGCCCACCACCTTATTTGTCCTGTGGACCGGAGGGTGTGGAGTGGAGAGCCAAGGTGCGGACTCGACCGTGCCATCCACCTGCTTCCTCTCCCGTCTCCGACCTTCTTGACTCTGTCTTGACACCGGGTACAGGTGGGGGAGGGAGAGAGAGTGTGGTAGATGCAGCGCAAGTCCACTCTCACTATAAATCCCGCACAAGCCACCGTGCCTGCGTAACCTTGCTGTGGCATCGTCAGAAACGACGGTCGAAATGTCGGTGTATGCAGTCAGTCAGCCTGAAGGTCAGCGCGTTCGGAACCGCTCTCTGCCGGGATGGCTGACAATGAGGCAGCGGGGTATTGGACAAAGACACAGGACAGTGTAACGATAGCTGTCAGCAGCAGGGTACCAAAGTCACTCACTTAGGCCAAAAGTTGGAACTGATTGTTTGATTTCTGCACTCAAGCGGGAACACCTCCGAGATGGTTGAGAAAAGACGAAAATAGGAGAACAAGCAGTGCCATTCTCGCATGATTTATAATGCCCCACCAAACTACCCTGAGTATCTGGGTCAGCGCCTGTTGGCAATAACCAGAAAAAACTTCAGCCAGGTTGCGCAAGCCGTCCGTGTGCGCACGGAAGGATCCCGCGCAAGCTCCGCATTTACCGTGGCCAAGCGTCGATTAACTGTCCGCACTTCTCCACGTCCTCCCTCTCTTCGCCCCTGACACCCTCATGGCTTCTCATTACCCTTCGTCCCCATACTCCCACACCCAACCTGCGTGAAAAGATGAGCTTTCGTTAAGTTCCTCTTACATGTTTTACTCGACCCCATTCGCGTATAAACGCACTGTCCTGACGAAATTTATCCAATGTAGACGCAAGTGTGCCAACTAGTCCTCTGGGCACTTTCAGGGGAATTTTCACAACCCCCAACTGTTTGTTTTGTTGCCTCCTACAAACCTCAAATGACAGACTGTATCCCACAGTCACCCTACCCCTTTGCTCGGAACTCCGCCGCGTCGGATCCACTTACCTTCACAGCCGACGGCTTCAGACGAACTGACCTGACATTCTGGCTGACTGCAGCATGCGCACACGCGAATTCAGACGGTCACAGACTTCCATGCCCCAGGTGAAAATGCCACCGCTTGGCTACTGCGACACGTACCACTGGGACACAAAGACTTCTTAACTTGCCTCGACAAACCCCTGAAAGCAGTCGACATCCTCCCCCCTCTCTTTCTCTCGGGTGTGACTTGGCATCTTCCTGGTCCCGCCAGTGGCCACTGCCGCCTGAAACAGTAGCCCAGGATTCTGTGCGCAAGAAAACCGCAATGTATGCAAGTATCGCCCTCCTATCAGACTTGGATTATCTAATTGAGTACCTATCACCCAAATGAACAGCTCAAAACTAGTTCTCTTCTGCCTTCGTCTAATAATTGCGCAATACTAGATGTACATGTAAGAACAATTCTGGGATACACGCAACTCCAATTTTCCAAGATGGAGTTTTGCAGGTAATTTCGAGAGATTAGTCGGATAGATGTCAGGCTGCAAGTTGATTTCAATAAATTTTCTGCAGATAAAGACGGGCCATATGTATGCTTATGCAAACGAGCTGGGACATTGAAAGAAGTGTGGAACGCGTCGCCATGGTCACCACTGCGTCTCTAATTTAATGTTCTGTATGGTATTATAAAGGCCCACCCATTAACTCAGGCGCAACCGAGCAACAAAGCTAAGGTTGCAATGTAGGCAGCGTTTAGGGATATTGGCTAGATCGCAGTTGATAACAAGGCCCGTATTACGGGTGGCTGGGGGGCTTGTTTACTGGGGCTATTTAGAGGGGCTCCGTAATTATATCTGACCCATTTGGCTTCCGTTTAACGTTTGAAGTTAGGAATAGGGTACCGGTTAATGGTTTCTGATTTTTGGGTTAGGGTTATGCCTTTAGGCTTAGGTTTTCGGCTTACGATTAGGGTTTGAGCGTACGATTAGGTTTCAGCATTACTATTAGGCTTTTCAGTTACGGCTATGTCTAAAGGCTACGGTTACGTTTACGATTTCGGTAAGGGCTAGGGTTGCCGTGCTGGACTCTAACAACCAAATAAGGCATTTGCCTTCGCGTCAGTTTCCTTTGGCTGTTATGCATAAAAACACTAATTGTAAAGATTGTGCTACAACAAATATGTACGTCCGGGGAAAACGTAAGTCCTTCTAGACAGTGATCATTAAACCAACTCCGGTAGTGCTGTCTAACTAAATACCCATCGTCCAGATGAACAGGTCATAACTGGTTCTCTGCTGCTTTCGTCTAATAATTGCACACTACTAGACGTACATGCAAGAACAATTCTGGGCTACACGCAAGCCCAATTTTCCAAGATGGAGTTTTGCAGGTAATTTCGAGAGATTAGTTTGATAGATGTCAGGCTGCAAGGTGATTTCAATAAATTCCCTGCAGATAAAGACGGGCCATATGTATGCTTATGCAAACGATCTGGAACATTGAGTGGAGTGTGGTACGCGTAGCCATGGTCACCACTGCGTCTCTGATTTAATGTTCTGTATGATACAATACAGTTCCGCCCATTAACTCCGGCGCAACCGGAAAACACTGTGCTGATGATTTGAACAAAGCTAAGGTAGCAATTGAGGCAGGATTTAGGGATATTAGCACATGTCCTAGCCCCTTATCTGAGGCGGCACGCCCTCCAGGTTAACCCGGGACGACGGCAGTATTGAAGGGGAAGCTAACTTTACGGAAGTATGTAAGCGGCGCCATTAACAAAAGTACTGCACTACACACCCCACGACTCAGGAATCAGTCATTTATCACACCACTTTAACTTCCATCTACAGTTTTGCTTTCAGCCCCTGCCGGTCAGGAAAATCCCTGTGCAGCTTCATAACAGTCGCGACCTTTGATGGTATTTTTACATCTTGTTTTTGTTTACGTCTGCAGCTTTGTTCAAATTTCTTGCGGGAAGGGAGTGTCTCAAAATTCTGAAAAAAGCACAAAAATACTTGCTACCAGCAAGGATGAACCCAATCAGTAACCGTGATTGAAATGCGCACAAAATCTCTAGAAGAGAACGTGCACCGTTGAATTTTCACTGAGTTAATTTCCCAGGATTGAGTTGTTCAGGGTGAGGGCCGTAAAATCAATAACCGAGGGGGGAGAACGCAGTATGCGACCACAGTCAGGGAACAAAAGTCAGGCCATCGTGCGATACGAGTTTTATGAGTGGGACTAAACGGCGTAGAGACGAGCACAATAGTGGGCAAACATCCGGATTAATGCTGAGGTGGCACATTGCGTCCTCGCGTTGAATTTCTCCACAGCTACTTGTGAAAGAGCACACGTACCAGGATCCCGACTTCCGAGGACTGATGAGGGTATCACGATACCTGACAACTGCGAACAAAACTGAACATTTCCGACAGTTCTTCTAGTTTGTTTTCATGAAAGAAGTAGATTACATTCCATCTAGTTACGAGAGCGCAGAAGCGTCAATCATCAAAAAGCCGAGGACGGAATATGCCGTTGGGGTCTATATTTTGTTCCCTGAGTGGGATCGCATACTGCGTCCTTGTCCCCTGTTTTAGTTTCAACTACCAGACTCAGAAATGATTTTCCATGGTTCATTCATCAATGATTGTCGAACAAATATTTTTCGTCAAACTTAGTGTGTCAGTTTAGATCAGGGATCGGAGAAGTTGCCGCCGATACAGTCGATACTAGACTGGCCGAATGATTTGCCAAACCATTTGAGGCGTCGACCCACAACTGCGTGGCCAGCGCGGAATGTCAACGACTAATGGTGAAGTTAAGCCTCCAAAAATGGCTCCTCTGTGAATTAGCATCACTCCACAAAGACACTGATTTTATCTGCCCTAAGCGGCAGAAAGTCAACAACCATATATAGATATGTATCGCGTTCATCATCCCCCGAAGAAGACGAAGAAGAAGAAGATGGAGCGAATTCATGGACCGAGTTATATTTGTACTGACGTTTCGGAAACCCTCTCGTTTCCATCATCAGAGTAATGCGTTGACTGTTCCCGTTGGTCTTGATTGCGTCAGCCTTGATACCTGCCTGGTATTATATCCGTCCGCGAGGCACGAACTTTGACCTGCCCGTTCGCCGCCGATTAGCGTTGACCTCTCCACGATTGACCGCCGGTGGGCTCCTGCCACTAATGACCCCTTTTCGGCCGTCGTAATTGTTGGTGAGCCAGCATGTTTGTCGGCCTCCCCCTCGTCACTCAACGGACTGATCAGTTGTTGGGGCTCATGTGAGTTGATCTCAGCCTCGTGGGCGTTGCGGTGAGGTGGCGTCGCATGCTGGTCACATGACCCCCGGCCGGCTTCTCTCTCAATTTCTGCTGACATCGGCCGTCGGCCACGCGTCACTTTGCTCGACTGTCCTGATGGCCTTGCCCGCACGGACTCGAGCCTTGTGCGTAGCGCCTGATAGGCGGGATGCAGATCTATGGCTCTGTTGAGTGTGCCAGTCGAGGACCAAATTTCGAGCACTAGTCTGGCCATCTTATCATTGGCTCGGCCAATTACCCTTGCCTTTTCAAAGGCGAAATTGTGATTCTGCTGTTTGACGTGGCCATAAACCATAGACAGCTTGTCCTTGCGGTTGATTGCAAGCTGCTGTTCATGCAATCTTGTGCCAAGACGTTTGCCCGTTTCACCAACATACCTTGCATCACAGTTTTGGCATGGTATGCTGTAGAGCACCGCTGATTGTTCTGTCACCGGTAGCGGGTCTTTGGGCCTCATTATTTGTTGTCTGATTGTTGACTCTGGCTTATGAGCCACTCCGATCCCGAAAGGCTTCAGGATTCTTGCCGTCGCCTCTGACACGTTTTTCACATGAGGGATTGCGAGCCAAAATTTCGGGTTTTCTCCGTCCGACCGCTCAGGGTGGGGCTTCTTAAGACACTTGCGTATGAAGGACTTGGGATAACCGTTGGCTTTAAATAGGGCGTGCAAGTACTTAATCTCCTCCTTCCTCCCACTGTCGTCGCTGCAGTGTGTTCGAACGCGTTGGAAGAGGGTCCTGACACAACTGCGTTTGTGACCAACGGGATGGTTGCTCTTGAAGTGGAGGATTCGCCTGGTGTTAGTTGCCTTACGGTAGACCGTTGTCCTTATCTTACCGTCCTCCAGCTTTGTCACTTGTACGTCAAGGAAGGCCAGCTGATTGTTGAGCTCTTCTTCCATGGTAAACTGGATGTCGGGAAAGATTGAATTCAACAGTGCCTTGAAACTCTGCACATCGCTCCTTTTGATGATAACGAAAGTGTCGTCGACGTATCTGGCCCAGAATTTTGGGGGATACGAGCTGAAGACCAGCCGCTCAAGCCTCTGCAAAACCGCCTCGGCAATTAATCCAGATAGAGGCGAGCCCATCGGTGTCCCCTTCTTTTGCTCGTAGACCTGGCCGTTGAATGTAAAGAACGTCTTAAGACACAGTTCTAGGAGCTCGATGATGTGTGCTCGTTTGAGCTGTTGGTCGGTCTCATCATACTTTTCCCGGAGAAAACCGTCAATAGTGTCGATAGCCAGCGCGGGTGGGATCGAGGTGAACAATGAGATCACGTCAAAAGACACCATCACCTCATTTGCCTCCACTTCCAGACGTTTGATGCGTGCCAAAAACTCTTCAGCCGACTTCACTGTCCACTCTGAATCCTTGGTAAGGAAAGAAAGTCGCTGGTACAGCCACTTTGACAGCCCAAAGGTTGGGGTACCACGTAAGGAGACGATGGGGCGTAACGGCACTCTCGACTTGTGGACCTTTGGTAAGCCGTAGAAGCGCGCCATTGCGGCATCACTGGCTTTTGCGGCCAGCGCTTCCCTTCTAGTAAGAGCGCCCGCCTTCCTCAGCTTGCCGATCGTCTTGTTTATGCTGTTTACGAGCTTTTTGAACTTGCTGACAGTCGATGGCGCATAAGCTTCCTCGTCCATCAAGAGGTTGCCTAGTTTTTTGCAGTACTCAGCCTTATCCATGACGACAGTAGAGCGCCCCTTGTCGGCGGGCAGGGTGACGATATCCTCTAGTCTTCGTATTTTC